AAAAGAACCGGTTTACAGAAATGAATCGGACTTTGCATCACTAGTCTGAAATGAATAAACTTTGTCACCACCTTATTTTCTGCTTTTAATATGTGTTGACTTTACCTCTTTTTCAAATACACGAGTCACATAGTCAAGTGTGTTACGATCATTTAGCCTTTTTGCCTGTGTTCTCTGTTCGATGTAATGGGTAAAGTCATGTGATACCCGGACACATCTGGCCTTTCAGATAAGTCGACTACACTTTGGATTCGACTCTCGATTCTCAACGCCTCGGAATTGAAGAAGTGATTCTTTTTGCGATCGTCATATATTCACCAGGGCTGCATTTATTTGATTAAAAATATAAATACAGTAATATTCTAAAATATTATTACAGTCAAAATCTAAAATATAATTGCCATTTAAAACAACTACAATTTATTTAAATAGGCTATATTGTGTGCTGATTTGGTGCTCAAGAAATATTTCTTAATATTGTCAGTGTTGAAAACAGTTGTGCAGGAATATTTTTGTGGAAACTGTGACATTTTTTTTAGGATTTGAATGTAATGCTTTCTTGCTGATTAGAAGTTTGACTTTGAACTGTATAATATTAAATTTGAACTGTAGTGTGTGTTATGTCCTAACGGAAACTAATATATTTACAGATAATTCCTTTCATTTTTTGTAACATCAGAAATGTCATCCTTTCGTTCAGCTCATTCAGAGATAAATTATTTCCATAAGTCATACTGTGTCAAATTAGCATGTAGCTTATTCTACAACGGTACCAAAGTCATATGGCAAACTATTAATCACCTTCTTAAACTGTGGCAATGTGACTGCGGCCTCTCATGGGTCATTTAAATAGACCAGACAATCCGTTAACGATACATCACTTTCTAAGAGCACCATCATGGCGGCTGTCCATGTAGGAAGCTGGTGGAAACACCTCTTGACAAGAGCATCATAGAACAGCTGACAAACCCATTAAACCCTGTAACACTCTGCAATTCCCTTCAAGAGACTTTATGGAAAAAAGAGCTCTGCATTTTCTCGTAGTGTAGGCCAATTAATGCTAAAAATGGACCACCTTTGACCACCCTATGAATCGTTTGCCGTGCCAGTCAAGATCAAGTTTGGATGTCTATTCTGTGTTTTCCACATAACACGGGGGTGTGTTCCAGCTGAATTCCATTTGATTGTCACCCACAGACCTACACTGATGCCTCAATGCCATGAGCATCCAGGAATAGCATCTTTTAAATACTTTTCTCTACAGTGAATGAAGCTACTATTAGTCTTTGGAATTTGAAATATAGATTTCAAAGACATGCATCCTCCTCATTCCAGTATATCGGAGGATATTTTTCATTCTCAGCAGTTAACGGCGATCATTCCATAGATGAATGCATAGAAATCAAGACGCTTTTTGATATAAACATTTGTGATCATTATTTGCATATGACATTCGTTTGAAAAGGTGGGGCCGGGATGGGACCGTATTCAAATGTTTTCTGTGGAAACTATGTCGGCAATGGTCCTAATTTTGTTTGTCTTCCATGTCTGGATTCCAGTTGGGACGTTAAGGAAAGTTGAGCCTCGTCCCAGGCTTTATCGGTGAGTAAAAATATGGCCTACAAGCTTCTCTGTTTGTCCCTCACTGTTTATATCTGACTCTGGGCTCCAGTGACCTTCTCCCATGTCATCAGGAGCACAAATTTAGCACTCTGGTTTCTGGAGAGACCAAATAGTTAGACAACATTGAAGACGGGGTGAGAATGCCCATGATGCAGATACGGTTACTCTTACTTGAAGAGACATAAACAGAATCTAGTGTAAACATCCCAGTCACTGGAATGCAAATCTAGGAAAGTTACACAGATACCAGGCATATCCCTGACTTCAATAACTCGATGAACAAAGACAGGTTCCAGTCAAGGCAGCTTCCTACAAAATCATAACACAACCTTCATACTCATTGTTTCAAAGCATGAAGGCTTGTTTTTGACAGAACCGAGATTTACGAGTCGCCAGTATAGAGTGGCATGCTGCAGAGAGTTTTTGTGGGGCGTTGGGATGACACAGAACGACAGTTATGTAGTAGTTGTGCTGACATGTCTGTGGCATGTTCATGCCAGCACAGTGGCATCTGATGTGTCACTGCTCAGACAAGCTGTTTTTTTTCCAATCTTGCTTGGATCATTGTGTTTTAAATAACCTAAAGAGTTCTGACTGATTTGCAATGCTGATGCAACACATAATTGAAAACAACCCACTGATATTTTTTCATGATACATTCTAAGAAATTTGAGTATTTTATGTTCTTTCGTACAGTAGATTAAAATGTGTAGATGATTTTAAAAAAATTTAGCATGTTTTTATTTATTTATTAAACGAAATGTGCTTTAGAAATAATGCTGTCTCATCTCTCTCTCACACACACACAACCTTCTAAATTTTGTTTTTAAAAAGTATCATGCTCAACAAGGCTGCACAGTTAAAACGGTAATAATGTGAAAATATTATTACTATTCAAAATATCTGTTTATTTATTTGTTTACTTGCTTACTTCACAAATATGATTTTTCAGTAGCCATTACTCCAGGCTTCAGTGTCATATGATCCTTCAGAAATCATTCTAAAATGCTGATTTGGTGCTCAAGTGACAATTTGTGAAACTGACAAATTTTTCAGGATTTGAGACAGACTGTACTGTCACTTTTGATCAATTTAATGCATCCTGGCTGAATAAAAGTATTCATTTGTTTCAAAAATACAAATAAAAGTATAAATAAAATATATAAAAAATAAACTGTATTGACATCAAATTTATGAACGGTAGTGCATATTCTTTAAGTCATGATATTCAAGAGCAACTGGCTACTTTTTTTTTTTTACTGAACAATACAAAATGGCAATTAGCAATAAAGTAATGTGTTTGGCACCAATCTGAGGTGGTCTGAAGAGAGAGTTTGTGACCATAGTTGGAGAATAGTAGGCAGGTGGCTAGGCAAGGCCTGTCGTGAGGAAGAGTGGAGCGGACAGCTGGCCCTGTCAAACAATGACTTATTCTTCACCATCCACTGCACTATAAACCTGCTCTCAACTGCACACACACTCCAGGAACTCCTGTGTGTTTGAGTGCATGTGGAATTGTACCATTTTTCTCCTCTGACTTGGCATAAATTCTTGTTATTCAAGTGTCAATATGTTAGAGTATCTAGGCAATTTCTAATATTTTAACTTTTTAAAAAGGTTTTATAAACCTGTTTCTAAAGACAGTTGAAAGAAAAGCTCATTTGATTTGGTTGTCATCTAAATCTAATGGCCCTTATCAAAATTTAGTACAGTAGGCTAACACGAACTGTAATGATGGTATTTTGGTGGAAATGTTGTAGATTCATGCTAAATCATTTATTAGGAAGAATAAGAAAATCACATCCTTTTTACAGTCATTATACTTCCTAAATATGTTTAGATTGCTATTTCCATTAAAACCATAAATGTATTATTAGATATCCTATTACATTCATGTTTCCATGATAACAGAAAGCGACTGGGAGAGGAAGAAAAAAGGATGCGAGTTGTTGTTTTGAAGGTGAAGGCTGTGAATTGAGGGGGGAGAGAGAGATTATGTGGCGTATGTATTTGTTCCTCAAACCTTGAACTCTTGAATCAAAATTATATGGTCTGGTAGGGAGATGTCCAGTGTGTTATCTAAAGATTTTGATTTATAGTTTGTAATGGGGCTCTTTAACGCAGATGAACAGTGTTCAACTGTTCATTTGTTCAGCGCACATCCAGACCAGCAGGTGGCGCTGATTATTAACAAGCTAAAGCAGGATGAACGCAGACAAAACGACAGACGAGAAATACCTTTGTTATGGATGTGAAAATAAGAGATGGATAGACCCTCAGTGACATTTTATCAACGCACAATGTCTAAACTGCAGATTTTAAGTGTTTTTCTGACAGAGAGATTAACATTAGTTGCGCAGGAGATATTTAAGGCTGTGGAAGACATATTTTCAGAGTATAATGAGGAGATTTGTCGCTCTAGACAGGAGATTGAGCTGCTCAAGAGGAGACTGCAGCAGGCAGGAGTTCAGATGGACGCTGGTTAGTCAGTTCACCCTAAATCTGATTCTAATACTTATTATTGTCATGTTATGGTTTTCATAAACACGAATAATTAAGACGTAAATGCTTTTACCCCAGCCCTTTAAAAAGTTAATAGTGTTAATATTAGATTATTGAGATGTTTAGATCAGTGTTTCCCAACCTTTTTTTAGTCGCGGCACCCTTTGGAAATTTTAACAAACTTGTGGCACCCTACGAAATTAATGTGAACTAATTTTCGGCAGCCTAAATTTCGGTGCATCTCTAATTATTGGCGACATCAGAAATGGATATTATATAATAGATGCTTTTTTGAACATTTTAGCAATTTAAAAATATTAAAAAAGGATTTTTTTACACGGCACCCCTGCTCTCGACACCCCTGCCGCGGCACCCCGGTTGGGAAACACTGGTTTAGATCATGCCAAAAGAGCCAGTGAAGAACAACACTTTGCCATTTTTTTATTATTATGCAGTGCTCTTTGTTATTCATGTATCATTTTTACTAATTTACGTTTGTCATATATATATATACACACCTGACACCCACCAACTTATAATCTTTAAGAACTGAATGTTTATGTTTATTTATTATGTTTATTCATGTAGTAACACAGCTTTGCTCCACTGAGACTCAAGGACAGAAATACACCCAGACATTTTCAGAGGAATGGAGATCTGAACATGACTTGAAGGATACAGCAATGCATATGATCCTAGATATTTGTACAAAGGAGGAGGAGAATGAAGAGGACATGCCTGTGTGCGGTGAATCAGCATCTTTATCACCATGTATGGACATTTATCATGATCAGACGCCCAGCAAAGACACTGAAACCCAAGTGATGGACAGTAGTGAGAATAATTTTCCCTTTATTAACAAAGCAGCTCGAATTAAGAATGAGCCTGAGACTAATACTGAAACAGGTACCACCTGCCAAATACAGCAGAACATCACAAAACAAGGTTTGGATGATTCAGGGGCCTGTTATGCTTCCAGTGACGTCAACAAAGTCAAAGTTAGCCACGTTGGCTCCCCCAGACATGAGACACAAACATTTAATGTAAGTCTGTCTATATGTGCAAAATAAATATCTCTTAAAGTGAAGTATTACTATTTTTGTTGTGTTATAAGACACTTGTATCCATAAATGTGAGATGTCATTGTTTTACAGCTGCCCCTCAGAAATCAAGAGATGTTGACGCAGCATCGGATGGAGCTGGCCCAGATAAGACGAGAGAGGTACTTGAATAAACAAAAAGTACAAAATGCAACACATTTTAGCAAAGACGCTTTAATCTTCGTCCAGCATATCTCACTAAATTATCAAAGTCCTCATCCAATGAAAGTTTACGTAAAAAACGAAAGTCTGATGTCACTTGCATGGATGTTGTGAACAATATAGTTGCTTTCTATTGAATCCTAAGGTATCACAAGAACTTCCTTACATGAGGACTGTAAAGAAACAGCAACAAAGATTCCTCATGAAGATCTCTCTACAGAAGGCCTATGAAGTCTGGAAGCTGGAAAATCCAGAAAATAATGTTGCACCCTTTCCTGTTTTCTCATAGCTTCGACCTTCATATGTTCTTCATCAGCATTGGATGGACTTGTTGTCTTGTCTCTGTGAATATTGTACTGGAGTTTTACTGAAGCTTTAGAGCCTGAACAGAATTCTCACTGCTTGTAATCGTAATCAATCATAATCGTTATCCTAAAGTATTACAAGGACTTCTTTACAAACCTGGTTAAACTAGGTGAAATTCAGCATGAAACTCGTTTACTCCATTCTGTATAGTGTGTTTCTCTTGGGATCCTGGATACTCGCCTGTATTAATGTTACTGTGGTGGCTGTAGATGGAATGTTGAAGATGGAAGCCAGTGTTCCAACTCGAATTATGTCCTTCCCTGGCAACGACATACCTTGAACATAGATGCTAAAATAGTTTATTTATACTGGCCTGTGACTGAAGAAAAGAACACCTTACTTCATAATTCTACTACAAGTGAAGACAACCAACTTCCTAATAAACAAAAAGGTCTCTAGATGAAATTTAATAACTCAGGTAAGGGCTCCATAATGGTTCCAACTTGAACATACAATGTACTCTTGATACTTTCCTTTTCCATATTTTTGTTGTATTTGTACAAGATCTGATTTCAGGTTAAAAATATAAGGCTATAACATTCTATACTAATTTAAAGCTGCAGTCTGTAACTTTTTTTGGTTAAAAATGATCCGAAATCAATATTTGAGCAAGTACATAACCAGCCAGTGTTTGAAACTATCGCCTTACTTTAGCCCGATTCACAACGGTCAGCTTATAATAATGTTTTCTAACAATTGATGCTGGATTTTATTCTGGCCAATTATAGTAAAGTCCTAGTGGCTTTTTATGAATTATAATAATATTATATTTTGAAAAATTATTCTCAGAAGTCAGAAAAATGGATATTCTTCACTATCTACTGCCAGTACTATAAACCTGAGAGCAGTACTATAAACACAGCACATATTCCAGAAGCCCCTATCTGCATGTGGAATTTTACATTTTTTTCGCATTTGACGTGGCATAAATTCTTATTTAAGTGTCAGAATTTATAAGGTTAATATTTGATTATTTTCAGGTGATATTATAAAAATGCTTTATAAACCTTTTTCTCAAGACTGTTGGAAGAATAGCTTAGGTGATTTGGTTGCCATCAAAGTCTAATGGCCCTTACTACAATTTTTACCATGGCTTCAGTACAGTAACACAAACTGTAATGATAATGGTATTTTGGTGGAAATTTTTTAGATTGATGGTAAATAATTTATAGGAGAAATAAGACAATCCCTTTTTATTACAGTCATTATAGTTTCAACGTGTTTAGGTTCCTATTTTTCATAACAACTACCATAAATGTGTTATAAGAGATCCTATTACATTCATGTTTCCATGGTAACAGAAAGAAAAAGGAAGAAAAAAGTGATGTGAGATGTTATTTTGAAGGCGAAGGGTGTGAATTGGTTTGCTGAGGAGAGAGAGAAAGAGAGAGAGATTATTTGGCGCATATTTGTTCCTCAAATCTTAAATTCTTGGATCATAATGATATGGTCTGGTAGCGAGATGTCCACTGTGTTATCCAATTATAGTTTGTAATGGACCAAAAGGGCTTTTTTAACACAGATGAGCAGTCATTAAAGGAAAACATTATTTTACAGCTCTCTGGAAATATTGATTCTGACTAGTAAGTCAAATCATTCAACAGTCAGATATTTTCACTTTATAGGTTTTTTTTGTGGCAAAACTAATAAATTGATAAATTAAACAGTGGTAATTTGCCATTAGTCACTGATAATAGATTTATTTTTAAATATAAAATAAGTATGTATTTTAAGTAGAAAACAGTAGTGTGTGTGTGTGTGTATATATAGAGAGAGAGAGAGAGAGACTATATATTTATATACAAAGCAGAGATGCACATCCAGACCAGCAGGTGGCACTAATTGCTAACGAGCTACAGCAGGATGAACGCAGACAAAACAACAGATGAGAAATGTTATGGATGTGGAAATAAGAAGTGGATAGACACTTCCGTGACATTTTATCAGCGCACAATGTCTAAACTGCAGATTTTAAGTGTTTTTCTCACAGATAGATTAACATTAGCTGCGCAGGAGATTTTTAAGGCTGTGGAAGACATATTTTCAGAGTATAATGAGGAGATTTGTCGCTCCAGACAGGAGATTGAGCTGCTCAAGAGGAGACTGCAGCAGGCAGGAGTTCAGATGGACGCTGGTTAGTCAGTTCACCCTAAATCTGATTCTAATACTTATTATTGTCATGTTATGGTTTTCATAAACATAAATAATTAAGACTTGAATGTGTTTACCTAAGCACTTTAAATCAGTCACACCTCTTTAAATAGTTTACAGCTCATTGAGATTTGAGCTCATTGAGGTTTAACGTTAGATCATGCCAACAACACGTCGTCATTTATTTTATGCAGCGTTCTTTTTTTACACACGTATCGGTTTTGCTAATATACTCTTATCATATATACATTACACACCTAACAATGTTTTACAGCTTATGATCTTTACGTCTGCTTATTTACTATGTTTATTCGTATAGAAACGCAGCCTTGCTCCACCGAGACTCAAGGACAGAGATACACCCAGACATTTTCAGAGGAATGGAGATCTGAACATGACTTGAAAGATACAGAGATGCATATGAAACTAGAAGTTTATACACAGCCCGACGAGAATGAAGAGGACATGCCTGTGTGCGGTGAATCAGCATCTTTATCACCATGTATGGACATTTATCATGATCAGACGCCCAGCAAAGACACTGAAACCCAAGTGATGGACAGTAGTGAGAATAATTTTCCCTTTATTAACAAAGCAGCTCGAATTAAGAATGAGCCTGAGACTAATACTGAAACAGGTACCACCTGCCAAATACAGCAGAACATCACAAAACAAGGTTTGGATGATTCAGGGGCCAGTTATGCTTCCAGTGACGTCAACAAAGTCAAAGTTAGCCACGTTGGCTCCCCCAGACATGAGACACAAACATTTAATGTAAGTCTGTCTATATGTAGAAAATGTCTCCTAAAGTGAAATATTATTATTCTCATTGTATTATAAAACACCCTTATACAAAAATGTGAGTTGATGGATGTCATTGTTTTACAGCTGCCCCTCAGAAAACAAGAGATGTTGACAAAGCATCGGATGGAGCTGGCCCAGATAAGAGCAAGGTACTCGAATATACTCTTTACAGTTTCATCTGTGCCGATTAGAGTTGACATTTTGTAGTGAAATCAAACATGCACTAGCTAGACTACACAAATCCTTCGCCTGTCAAAAATGTAATTTGAGTCAAAATCTGCTAAAGAGCAATAATGGAAAAACAGTGATTCTTCACTATTATTTACAACAAGATCTTCATTTTTATGGGTTTGAATAAAAGGGATGAGACGATAAAAAAACTTTGCTGTTTAAAAAAAAAAAACCTTGATATTCAAAATCAATTAATTTACGACAGCTGAATGTAACATTTTTGACAAGACATGTCAAACGTGATTTATTTAAGCCACAAAATAAACTTCATCCTGTTTATAGGTATAATGAACTACGCAAAAAGTATTTCACTTAACCAAAAATCAAACATTGCTCACCACTCATGCACGTTATCCCATCCGTCAAAAACAAAGGCTGGCTGTCGGTTGAAATATTACAGCTAAAAACATCGACATAACACACTCATGGGCTCTTCACTGAATATTTGCTGGCTAAGAAATAAATAATTATTACCTTACCATTCATCTGTTTTCAAATCCACAGCATTTGAATTTCACTGCATCAATGTCTGTCAAAACATAATGTACAAAATACACAGTAGTATTTACGAGAAGCAGAAATCCAGGTAATTTATTGAGAGGTGATTTTTGAAAAATGTCTGATCACTAGTTTGAACACTGTCTTCTCAGTTGTTTTTAAAGATTAAGGCAATTTATTAAAGTTAATTTTCCAATAAAAGATTATAAACTTTTACACATGATTTGTTACATTTAATTATCCTTTGCAGATGTTGAGACAAATATATATATATACAAATATATGTATTTTTCTCAAAATCTGAAGAGTTATTTCTTAAATATGATTTAGTTTCTCTTTCAGTCTGTCTGCACTGTTATAAAAACATTAAAAACAATGTCAAAAAAAAAAGAAGTTACTTTCAAATAAACCTAAGTGGCCATTGAAGGGTTTTTGATGCTTTTGTTTTGTGCTGCTCATCCTGGATGATTCTCACATACGCATCAAAACATTTCTAGATCAAGCACACCATAGTCATGTTACTTTACTCTTAGTGCTATTACTGTCATTATTGCTTCTAATTTCAATCGGTGACTTTGTTTACTGTTGCACATATTTTTCAATCATTTCTCAATCGCCGCATAGTTTAAACTGGAATGTGAGCGCTAGATTACATCGGTGAGAGCTTAATGTTAAAGTATAATTAATGTTAATACTTTTACCTAAACATTATTAAATAAATGAAACACTATTGTTCAAAAGTTTGGGGTCCATAAGATTGAATAAAAAATGCAGTCAAAACACTTATGTTGTAAAATAGTTTTACAATTTGAAATGACTGTTTTCTATTTTCATATATTTTAGAATGTAATTTATTAGAATTTTCAGCAGCCATTACTCCAGTCTTCAGTGAACCTTTCTTATATGCGGATTTGCAATTATTTGATCAAAAGAAATTCCTTTGTTTGAAATAAAATCTTTTGTAACATTATAAATGTACCGTCACTGTTGACCAGTTTAATGCTTCCTTGCTGGATGAAAGTACTGATTTAAAAAAAATCTTACGGACCCACAAATTTTGAATGTTATTATTAATTTAAGCAATAAGTTACTATATTGTAATTATAGTCACAACTAAAAGGCAGTCGTGCTAGACTGCACACTCCTTTTAAGTATTAAGCATGTGAATGCAGGGGCTGGCATCCCACTAGCCAGTTTTTCAGCAAATTTACAGGTAGTTTGATGTGTGTGTGGCCGCATCCCTCAGCAGGTGGGTGCTAATAGCCTCGGTGACTCAACATCCTGCGGAGATAAAGTGCCCCTATTATGGGTAATGAAAGGTTCATATTTTGGTTTTGGGAGTCCCCAACAACCTTCAGACCAACGCGAAAAGACCAACAAGTGGGCAGACAATATGCTAATGTTTCATGTTGACGTCAACATGAAACTGCTTGGGATTCGTTTTAAAAACGACTCGTTTCAATGATTCAGAGTCGACTCTTTCTTTTGAGAGACAATAAATTTATAAACGGTGCACTTTCAGATTTAAAATTTTGCAGGATGTTTTAATTCACTTAGAGCTGTGTTACACACTGCATGAAAGGTCATTTTCAAAAATCCATAATAGGGGCACTTCAATAGCCCTGCTAGTCTCTGACAATATCCAACATGTCTGATTTTATCTCTCAGTCGGACATTCGTGGCCTAGGAATTGACCAGTGGAAAAAGTCTAGTTTGGATCTGGCAATTTTTTTCCCAGCAACACTTTAAGACTAATTGTTTTCCATTGTGAGTGTGTAGCAACACGTTTTCAGGAGTTTTCCTACATTGCATCTACGACCTGGATGGATAAACAAAATCTCACTCATTCACAGGGCAAAGTAAGACAGAGGCAGTGATTTAGCCTGCTAACCACCTTCTCTTGTTAACCTGTGCATGCGAGAGAGCTCTTAACAGAAAAGAGTGAGATTTTAGCTGAAATAGCCTGTAGGCGTGACATCGAGTTGGCAAGTGGTACACCTCCCTAAAGAGGCAAATGCTTATGATAGTTTCTTTTTAAGGTCAAATTTTTGTTGTTGTTTAGATTGGCAGATGAAGAGCGAAAGAAGTCCGCAGCAAAAGCTAGATCCCTAAAGCACAAGCAGAAAGTATACGGGAATCCTGAGCTTCGTGAGGCATGCAGGAAAAAGGAGAGAGAGAGGTATACTGCAGCTTACATGAGGAAATCCTGACTGTAGGTTAGGTACATATGCATTGTATTAAGTACTATAGTAACAACAGATCATGTATACTTAAGTATACTTAAACGTTTGGGGTCAGTAAGATTTCATTTTTTATTTTTTATTAATACTATATTTTGCAGGGATCCGTTAAATAGTTTAAAAATGAAGGTAAAGCCATTTAGTAATGTTACAAATTACTATTTCATAGAAATGCTTTTGAACTTTCTATTAATCCAAAAATCCTGACAAAAATGTATCATGGTTACTAGAAAAAGCAGCAGAAGAATCACATTAATTAATTAATTATATATTTTTAAATTATATTAAAATAACAGTAATTTTAAATTGTATAAATATGTCACAAAATTACTGTTTTACTGTATTTTTGATTAAATAAATGCAGCCTTGGTGAGCATCAAAAATCTTACAGACACCAAACTATTATACACACTTATATGTGGTCTTAATGTGAAAATCAGTTTTAGATTTAGCTTTTTAGAATCAGCTTGACGCTGACTCACTGATATTTCTCATTTTTGTAGATATCAAAGACGAAAATCTCAGGGGAAAGTGAAATTCGCTAAAGATCTGAACCCAATAGAACTGAGAAGGCAGCAGAAAAAGTGGAGGGAGAATTCAGCCGCTTACAGGAGAAAGAAAGCATTTCAGGAGGTTTTAGTCAACATTAACGAAGACATTAATCAAGTCATTCCAGAGCCAATGCCGACCACCTCCTCTGCTCAACATTATGGTGTTTTTAATGTTCACTGAGATATGCGCAAAAATATTCTTCTATCCCTGTTATTCAGCTGGTAGATTATGTGAGTATGTCACTAGCCAGTGCCAAGGCCATTGGTACGATTCCCAGAAAATACACTTGATGATGAAATCAGTGTATTTCATGTGCTTTACAACATCTGCCAAATGCATGAATGTAAATATTCCATTAAAAAAGTAAACGGCATGCAGTTTCTAACAGAAATACTAGCACATACACATTCATTCCATGACTTCAGTGTAAAAATGTCCTTAACATTTACTTTAGATTACATAAATGACCAAGTTTTGGAATTATGCTTTTAATGAATTGAATTTTGAAATAAAAAAATGTGAATGATGCAGTGCCATGCAGTGTGCTTGTGTTTTGCTTTTTACTGTTTTTAGCTGTGAGTGAAATCAAATGCATTCACTTTTACTTAAAATTTTCATCTCCAGCAATGGGGTCTTCATTACTGTAATGAGTTGGGGGGGAAACACACTAGAAATGATAAAGAAAATAATAAAATATGGTGGATGTCAACATACAACTATTTCAGAAAATGCTACATATTTTCTTTAATAATATGCAATGTATTTTTAGCACAGAACTTCAATTGTCAAAAGTTTAACCATTTAGATTATTTGGGCATTTGTTTGTGAGAATCACCCAATGAAAATAGACTCTTAAGAGAAGCCTTTTTCCCAATAAACATCATCAATACATCTGTTTTAAGTTCTGGTCTTTCTGAAGTAACGTGTATTTCTTTTTTTTTTTCCAAAGTAAATTACAATCACAGCAGGAAAGGAACAAGAGGAATAAGAGTGAAAATGAGGAAATTCACAGAGTAAAGAAGATCAGACACTTTGAAGAAGTGACACTTGATAAAGAACAACAAACACGTAAGGGCATTTCAATGAACAGTGCTACTTAAAAATTAATTTATTGATTAAAAAAAGGATTTGTCAGATATTGTTTCACTTCTCTTTTAGACACACAGGGTAATTAAAAAGTGTAATTCACTTCACTTCTTTAGAGTCCAAGACAAGCCTGGCTGACATATGTTTGGAAGACGTTCAGCATGAAGAGGAACTGTCTGAAAGCTACCCAACACATCATGATATTCACGGAAATCCACACGGTACAGGAGAGTATTTGTGTGTGGTAAACGGCATGCAGTTTCTAACAGAAATACTAGCACATACACATTCATTCCATGACTTCAGTGTAAAAATGTCCTTAACATTTACTTTAGATTACATAAATGACCAAGTTTTGGAATTATGCTCTTAATGAATTTTGAAATAAAAAAATGTGAATGATGCAGTGCCATGCAGTGTGCTTGTGTTTTGCTTTTTGCTGTTTTTAGCTGTGAGTGAAATCAAATGCATTCACTTTTACTTAAAATTTTCATCTCCAGCAATGGGGTCTTCATTACTGTAATGAGTTGGGGGGGAAACACACTAGAAATGATAAAGAAAATAATAAAATATGGTGGATGTCAACATACAACTATTTCAGAAAATGCTACATATTTTCTTTAATAATATGCAATGTATTTTTAGCACAGAACTTCAATTGTCAAAAGTTTAACCATTTAGATTATTTGGGCATTTGTTTGTGAGAATCACCCAATGAAAATAGACTCTTAAGAGAAGCCTTTTTCCCAATAAACATCATCAATACATCTGTTTTAAGTTCTGGTCTTTCTGAAGTAACGTGTATTTCTTTTTTTTTTTCCAAAGTAAATTACAATCACAGCAGGAAAGGAACAAGAGGAATAAGAGTGAAAATGAGGAAATTCACAGAGTAAAGAAGATCAGACACTTTGAAGAAGTGACACTTGATAAAGAACAACAAACACGTAAGGGCATTTCAATGAACAGTGCTACTTAAAAATTAATTTATTGATTAAAAAAAGGATTTGTCAGATATTGTTTCACTTCTCTTTTAGACACACAGGGTAATTAAAAAGTGTAATTCACTTCACTTCTTTAGAGTCCAAGACAAGCCTGGCTGACATATGTTTGGAAGACGTTCAGCATGAAGAGGAACTGTCTGAAAGCTACCCAACACATCATGATATTCACGGAAATCCACACGGTACAGGAGAGTATTTGTGTGTGGTGTGCCGCAGACGGTTCAGCTCACCAGGACTGCTGAAAATTCATCTGCGAGTTCACTCTGGAGAGAAACCCTACCACTGCAACTTTTGTGGGAAAAACTTTAGACAATCAAGTCACCTGAACACACATGTCCGGATCCACACGGGAGAGAGACCTCACATCTGTCAGAACTGTGGGAAGACGTTTATTGACTCCAGCGCAAGAAACAGACACTTCAAAAAATGCGTTCTTATCTCTCTGCAAGCACCATGAAATCATAAGGAGCACCTGTTGTTTTCTGTAGCTCACTGAAATGGAAATGTCATGGTAAATACTTTCAAGGCTAAAATGACAGCAGCTGATTTTTTACAATAGTGACGTTTCAATCGATAGGTCCGATCCAGTGTCATTAAAAACACAACCACTAGAAAAGTGATGTGTGAAGAACATCTCCTCCTCCTGTCTTTAAAAAAAAAAAGATTTTACCTTTTTGTTTTTTTGCACAGAAATTTTACCTGAACTCCTTAAAACACATTCAATGGTACGTTTTCCACAGCAGGACTAATAGAGTTTCTTGAAACATCTGAACTGAGGTATGGCTCACATTTTAACCATGTAATGCTTTGTTTATTTACTGAGAAAATCTTTTTTCTACTTAAAAAAAGCTGTTTATGCCTCCATGTTTTATCTTGTTTCTTCTACTTAATATTAAATGTTTATTAGCTAGCATATTTATGAGAAAATGTACTAATTTATTTATTACGTTTTTTTAAGCAAACAAAATATTACATTTCATTTTCATACATTTTTTTGGTCTTATTTTTTTTCACTGTTAGTATAGAATGTATAAACATTACTGCAGTTTATAGTAATTAATTTTTCTTTTTTTAATGGGTGAATTTTGTCTGTAAAGTCTTATGAATAAAAGATCATGTTTTTTACAATCTTATTTAATCTTGTTTATATCTTTACTTTCTAAACAGTAACCTTTACGACTGAAAAAAAAATGCAATACTCTATTAATTGTAATTAGATGTTTATTCTACATTTTTTAGGCTTATGGAGTTCAGTTCATGGGCAGCAATTAGTTAAATTCAGCATATTAGTTACATTGAAAGGATCAATCATATCACAGTGTCATAATGTAATCTAAAAAGACTGTTTCAATAAACCATAAACATTACACATAAAAAAATGTTCCCAAAGTGTTCACCCTTTTTTTTTTTTTCAAATGGATGTGACTTCAGGATTTTCAGAAAAAACCCTGCATCACAATCAAATCACAATCTGCAGTAATTTTAGGAGGAGACTAATAATATAGTCATTAATCCGGTACAAGACAAATCTAACAACCAAGATTCACCAAAAACTCGACATTCTACAGAAATCATTAAGCAATATATGACATATCATGGACTTGCCGATTACAAGAGACAGAAAAATCCCACAAAAAAAGAAAATATGCATTTTTTTCCCTGTCCATGAAACATATTCACGCATTGACTGCATAAAAAAAAATAGAAAAAAGAATTAACCGCAGCAAAGAACCACAACGTTAGTCTTCTGAGGTATGAAGAATTTTAGAAGAAAAAAAAATCTTATCTAAATGAAACAGTATGTAAGCGATGGCTACTTTAACTATCTCAAACTCTAGGGGGCAGAAGTGGTCCACTGTCCTTTTTATGATCCTATAACGCATTCCAAATGCGCAACAGAAAAATCACCAAAAGCAGACATTTTTACATGCCATTCAGGCAGCCCATGTTCCACATCCTGTGTAACACAATTGCTAATTCAATTTATTAGCAGTCACTTCTTGTCGCCAAACGCTGAGACCTTTTCAAATGAAAAGCTGTGACTGTGAGAGCTACACCACAAACAATCCACACAGCACACATTTGCATTCACACAGCTCTAATGTCAATACAAAAGTCAATAGAAATCTACATTACGATTAGCCTTGCTAACCCACATGCCTCCCGGCCTGTGAATGATGCTGGAAGAGTCATACAGACGGTGTTTACTGAGTAATGAATACACTGTATTAGTAAAAGAACACCACCGAAGAACAGTTCACCTGCAGCTTCCTGAACTTTTTTAACTCCCTGAATGAAAATTGTATCACTCTGTAAGCATAAAGGTGTCATTTATTAGGGCCCGAGCACCGATGGTGTGAGGACCCTATTGGAATTGCTCCGTTTCTTATTATTCTTCCGCTTCTTCTCCAAAGTGAATCGCATTTTTGGGGACCTAAACATGCTCGAAAACTCATGAAACTTTGTGAAACATCTGATATGGTTTTCAGAATTGGGGGTGGCAAAATGGCTCGATAGTGCCACCTATAAAATTTCAACGAAGTGCCCCTCGAGCTACGTTTCACGTACGTTTACGAAACTCGGTACACACATGTAACACACCAATACCTACAAAAAAGTATCCTGGTCCAAAACCCGAAACCCAACAGGAAGTCCATTATTTTGAATTTCCTGTATGATTTTTGTGCAGTTTTTGCCATTTTCAGGCCTCGTACTTTAACAAACTCCTCCTACATTTTTAATCGGATCATCTTCAAATTTGGTGAGAGTCATCATAAGGTGTACAATGTCCAATCTGCCCAAAACTTCACACGTTTTCTAAGAGTCCTGGCCTGAACACATCTAAAGGCCAATATTCAGTTATAATTATAGCGCCACCTGCTGGCAACAGGAAATGACTTGTTTCACACTAACTTAAACATGCCATGTCTGATCTGCCCTAAATTTCACATGTTTGATAAAAGTCCTGGTCTGAACTCATCTTAAGGCCAATATTCATTTATAGTCATAGCACCACCTGCTGGCAACAGGAAATTACTTGTTTTACACTAACTTAAACATGCAATGTCCGATCTGCCCCAAACTTCACATGTTTGAAAAGACGCCTGGCCTGAAGACATCTACATGCCAATATTCAGTTATAATCTTAGCGCCACCTGTTGGCAGCAGGAAATTTGGAACAAATATTTACCACTTTAAAAAAAAGCATATTGCCCAACATTTGCTGTTCTTCTATGGCCACCGGGTGGCGGTGAGCCCGGGTGCGAGGGCCCTTTCATCGCTGCTTGCAGCTTTAATTTAGCCTTATTTCTTTCTGTATGGTGACCCAGTAGTACACAACACAACAAAATCTCCACGACACAATGGAAACAAGCCGCAACACAAAGAAATTAGCACAACACAATGAAATTAGTCCTATGCGTTGTGTTGTGGTGATTTCGATGTGTTGTGCACTACTGGGTCACCGTAGGGTTCTGTCCTTTACGAGTACAAACAAACAAACAAAAAAACTATACAGATAACTATAAGCATAAATTTTTTGAATGCTTGTCTAATTCCGCATCCTCACCATTTCATTATTGTGGGGACCATGAATACAAAACCATGTGAGGAAGGATGTTCTTGTTTAATGCCTGAGAAAAAGAATTTAAATGATTCTATTAAACAAACAACAAATATTGCTGTAGGGACACAGATAGCTTCACACTGTTCTGACCACATTAATTTTTTTCACATGAAGGAACAATAATCCACTAAGCTCATTGGTTTAAAATAAGCTCAGATAATAAAACAATGTTTTTTTGTTGGTATAAAGTACTCAAGAGTTACATCATCATTCACTCCTCTCTCATTTGCAAGTAATTTTTCGGCCTAGGACTTTAGCCCATGTGTAAGGTCAGCGGTATGTTTTTTCTGGAAGTGTTCTGACATTTTGACACGTTCCAACTGTGTGTATAATTTTGAAAATAGAAATAAACACAAATCCTGCAGTAAACTCTCGGCCTGTAGCTCATTGGTATTTTCGCTCGGCTCTTGGCTGTGAATCGCCTAAGGCACAGCTGAAGGGAAAAACACATTAAAAGCCTCATAAAGTAGCTTTTTGAATTCTATATGTTCTTTTTTTTCCTCTTGGTAAAAATGCAGCTGATGTGCTGATAGATACACATAGACATTTTTGAAGTCAGTTATACGGTGTCTTTTATAAGCTATATAATACAGTATTGATAGCTCTACAAAAGCATATTGTCAATATCAAACACTACAGCATTGATAGCATGATGCTGTTGTTCTCCTCCATCCTTGGGTTTCTCTTTAATACCTCAGTTGTCTCTGGTGTGTTTTCCCCGCGGTCAGACCTCCAGCCCAATCAAACCCAAGGCCTCTCGTTGGCCGAAGCCTTGAAGTACTTTTCCGTTTCCATGGCAACATCTGCCTGTTTGGTAAATGGAAGACTGCGCCTAATTTTTCTTGCAATTAAGAGTTGAACTGCTGTACACAAAAGCCCTGCAGGCTTAGTTGTGAGCTCATACCTCAAAGGACTCACGTTGTGGTTCACTGCTGCAGTTAGTCGACAAGACTTACACTGGATCAACACTAAAAGAAAAATCCACTTCATTTAGCCGTTCAGCAGCAGCAGCATGTGAACATACAATGGAATGTGACAGTAAATGTGGAAGAAAGAAAGGTAGAATAATTTGAGCAAGTATGATTTTGAGTCTTGTTTGTACATGGTGAGAGTTTGTGCGTGCCGTGGCTCCCCCGCATTTGTCAAAGAACCTGCCAGCCATCCGGTCTCTCCAGGGTCCTGTTATCAGTGGGAGAAAGCATCAGTCTGAATAAGTCAGCCTGCTGATTGGGCTTGTGGGACTGCTGTGCAGAACTGTTTTCTGCCACTGGTGCATAGATGCACACTAACAGTGCATTAAGTGTTATTGTGTATTTTTATCCCCCCGGAAATTAACATTTTTATTCAACAAGGATACATTTCATTGGTCAAAAGTGACACTTTTTATTCAAGTCTGTTTTTTAGCTAATAAAAAACTGATAAATGCATTTAAAATGTACAGAAACAGCTGTGCAGAGATGTTTGCAAAAGCTGATATTGCAGGTTGGATACCAGCCGAATGTTGGCTGCAACCCAATTACATAGTTACTATATCACCCAACCATTCTTTTACAGATAGATCGGAAGCCAGGCGCTTGTAATTGTCAACATCTGAAAACAAATGAAAAACTATTCAAAATTCAATGGATGCCTGTGTGTCATTTACTGTATATGCACTACCATTTAAAAGTTTGGTGTCAGATTAGTACATTTTTTCTTCTTTTTTAAATTAGCCTTTTGTGCTCACCAAGGCTGGATCTGTTTAATAAAAATACAGTAAAAAATGCAATATTGTGAAATATCATTACAATTTATAGTGTTTTAAAACTGTTTTCTAGAATATATTCGTCTATAAAATATATTCCTGTTGGCAAAGCTAGATCTTCAGCATCATTACTCCAGTCTTCAGTGTCACATGATCCTTTCAAAAATCATTCCCATATGCTGATTTAATGGTCAAGAAACATCTTCTTATCAATGCTGAAAACAGTCGTTCTGCTTATTTGGCTGCTATTACTTTAAGAGCTGCCGCTGCTAAAAAATAATCATCTGCATTAACGCGTTAATTTTGACAGCAAATGTAAGCCATAAAATAAAACAATATATATATAATATAATAATTTATTTCATTTTATTATCCAATGTATTCATAAAAAATATAGTAACTAAGCTGGTTTGAACTGCTGATTACTGATTTGTTGCTTGTTCAAAATGGTCTACCAGTTTGCACCAGACACTAATCAGTTTAGTCATTCTAGAACCCATTTTCGAAACTCTCATCATAAACTTGATCAATAGACCA